ATTGTCTTGTTGGAAGATAAATCTCCGTCCCAGTTTCAGGTCTTTTGCAGACTCCAACAGGTTTTCATCCAGAATGGCTGCATCTATCTTCCCCTCAATTTTAACCATCTTCCCTGTCCCTGCTGAAGAAAAGCAGGCCCAAACCATGATGTTGCCACCACCATGTTTGACAGTGGGGATGGTGTGTTGAGGTGATGAGCTGTGTTGCTTTTACGCCAAACATATCGTTTTGCATTGTGGGCAAAAAGTTCGATTTTGGTTTCATCTGACCAGAGCACCTTCTTCCACATGGTTGGTGTGTCTCCCGAGACTTTTTATGGATATCTTTGGCTTTTATAAATGGCTTTCTTCTTGCCACTCTTCCATAAAGGCCAGATTTGTGCAGTGTACGACTGATTGTTGTCCTATGGACAGACTCTCCCACCTCAGCTGTAGTTCTCTGCAGTTCATCCAGAGTGATCATGGGCCTCTTGGCTGCATCTCTGATCAGTCTTCTCCTTGTCTAAGCTGAAAGTTTAGAGGGACGGCCAGGTCTTGGTAGATTTGCAGTGGTCTGATACTCCTTCCATTTCAAAATGATCGCTTGCACAGTGCTCCTTGGGATGTTTAAAGCTTGGGAAATCTTTTTGTATCCAAATCCGGCTTTAAACTTCTCCACAACAGTATTACGGACCTGCCTGGTGTGTTCCTTGGTCTTCATGATGCTCTCGCGCTTTCAACAGAACCCTGAGACTATCACAGAGCAGGTGCATTTATACAGAGACTTGATTACATTCACAGGTGGAATTTTATTTATCACCATCAGTCATTTAGGACAACATTGGATCATTCAGAGATCCTCGCTGAACTTCTGGAGTGAGTTTGCTGCACTGAAAGTAAAAGGGGTCGAATAATTTCTGCCCGCACCACTTTTCATTTTTTTATTTGCTAAAAAAGTTTAAAATATCCAATAGATTTCGTTCCACTTCACAATTGTGTCCCACTTGTTGGTGATTCTTCACAAAGAATTAAAATTTTATATCTTTATGTTTGAAGCCTGAAATGTGGCAAAAGGTTGAAAAGTTCAAGGGGGCCAAATACTTTCGCAATGCACTGTATATACATATACACACATATATAAATATATATAAACACATATATAAATATATCTATATATATATAAATCTCTCTCTCTCTCTCTCTCTCTCTCTCTCTCTCTCTATATATATATATATATATATATATATATATATATATATATATATATATATGTGTGTGTGTGTGTATGTAGAAAAGAAATGATGTCATGTTTGAAGTAGATGATGAATTGGCATGATTGATTGCTTTTTCTACAATGATGAACTGAGTCCATTTTATTGACTGTACAGTGTACAATCATTGGCTGGATGAGAGAAGAGACCTTTTGTAACTTGTAACAATTATTTTGTAGGTATAAATAAATATGAGTAATACACTAGGTTCTTAAATAAGTATAAGTATTAAATAAGTATTTAAAAAGTTAACGGTATTCAATTTCATCCATCCATTGTCTGTACCACAGAAATGTACACAGGGTCACGAGGAGCCTCGAGCCTATGACAGGGGACTCGTGGAACAAGGTGGGGGACACTCTGGATGGGGTGCCAACCCATCATATGGCAAAATCGCGTGCACACACCAGACAATTTAGAGATGCCAATCAGCCTACAATTCATGTTTTTGGACTGGGGGAGGAAACCAGAGGCAAGCTCCTAGCACACAGGGCCCCGATCCCGGAGGTGAGAGGCAAACGTGCTAACCACTGTGCCCCCTTATTCAATTTCAGTAATACTCAAATAAAGTATAAATATAGCACAGTAATACTTGAGTACAGAAACAAAGTACAATTCTGTAAGCTTTTTCCACCCCTGGCCTAAATCATACTTTTTTTTGTCATCTAAGTGACACTAGCAATTTCCTGCACTCAATAACTTATCACTTATGACCACCTACTCACATAATTGCTGTTGAAAATGCCAAACGCCATAAATGTTAAAAACAGGACAACTTCCACAAAACAGGCAGGCTTCAACCATTTCATCTAAAATATTCAATATAACCTGCATACTCCAGCCAAGTTGTGAGGATCAGCACAGGATTTAATTTTTTTTTTTTTACGTTCCAGGACACTGTGTACACTTTGTCAAGACTTATATTAACCGCTTGTATTCTGCTGCATGTTCTATCCTCTTGTGGTACTTATTGAATAGATTTTTTTTATTTTGTAGCATTTAAATAACACAAATGAAATGAAAATTGAAGCGTGCCAAGGCAGCAGTAAAAAAAAAAAAAAACTCTCTAGGACGGAGGAGGAGGAGGAAAAAAAAAAACCTTTAAGATGAATCAAGACTTAGCAGGGGGGCCCTATACTCCTGTAGAATCATGAATCATTCTTTTATCAGTCAGACTAAGAATTTCAGAGTACTTCTGAGAGAATGTTCAACAGCAGTTAATCGAGGAAGTGGTAACAGGGGCTTGTGGTCCCCGGGAGACGAAAGAAGAAGGTCTACAGATGGCAAAAAGTATAACTGGGAAGAATAGGATCTATTTAGACAAACAGCAATGTCTTTAATGGACACCAGAGTTTCTCCATCTACTTCAGCAGGCCAGCAGTCGGTTCACATTTTCTCTTCGTTCAAGTTCCTAATATACTTGAAATGGATAATTAACTCTTGAGTACCTGCCTCAGGTATGGTCAAACGTGAAAACTGTTGGAGTGACCGGACAGAGAATCTCTGGTGTTTGTTAAAATCGAACATATTCAAAGACAATATGATGGAATACAGAAGGCCATAACAGACACTTATGGTTAACGTGGTTTCAAATATATTTAGTAGATACCAACAATGCATCAAGGAATTTTTCCTACTGGAAGGTGTAAGAAAACAAGGCCAGCACCCCAAATAAAATCAGCCTTTCATCATGGATTTGGCCTTGAGACTCCATGTGTTCCCTTAGTGATTTGGGCCACAGTCTCCAATACACAAAATCTGAAGTGTAATCATCATAACCACCACAGTTATTTCAGAGAGGCCAGAACTTCCCGTCACCTTTCATCAACTCCATCAGTACCGTTCCATTAAAAAAAAAAAAAACAACTATGTTTACTCCCTCCCTTAGTTCCACTGTGTTCAGCACTGGACAAGAACAAGTTCTGAATCCAGAAATTCACCCCGAGAGACATGGTCCGCAGTTTCAGACTGTGCACCGACTGATTGAAGCCATTTGCGGACTGCGTGCTTCCTTAGTGAAAATCTTTTCCTGCTAAGGCACACCCTCGGCCAAAAGCAGACTAACACATTGAGTTACACAACCCCGATTGTCAGCATTTACCAAAAGAAAATTCTTTATTGATTTGTGAGGATTCAAATTGCGAGAGCAATAAACAAGCACAAAATAGCAATGATGTGAATGAAAAGCTGATAAGTGTGTTCCCTCAGGTCTTTACTGCTTCTTCCTCTTCATCTTCCTGCTGCATTTGCTCGATGAGCTTCTGTCGCTCTGCCGCCTGCCTCATGCGCATTAACACCAGGCTCTCGTAATCTCGTTCAGTGCTCAGAGAGGTCTGAAAAAAAACAAAAACACCACCACCGCACACAAATATATCGTGTAAATGTACGTGTAATGACTAGTAAAAGTTGTTATATACAGTATGTGAAATCTGAAGCTTTCAGCATACAATTTTCTGACCACTTTAACAGCTAGAACCACTAAACGCTCAAAATGCAATGCTCAGCTTCTGTTACCGAGTCAAAAAATGTAAAAGCATACGGTTCAACTGTTACAATTTCTCAAGCAACTAATCACAATTACAGGTGCATCGCAAAAAAATTTAATACAATGGAAAAGTTCTTTTTTGGGATGCAATGCAAAAAAAAAAAAAAAAAAAATGAATCTCATAAACCCATACGGTCACAATAGAACACGTACCATTTTGTTAATTTGATGCCCACAACACGTCTCAAAATAGTGTTAATAACAAAGAAAAAGCTGGAGGTTAATTGGCAACACATCAGTAACATGATTGGGTATAAAAAAGTGTATCTTAGAGAGGCAGAGTCTCTCAGAAGTAAAGATGGGCAGAGGTTCACCAATCTGCATAAAACTGCATCTACAATTTGTGGAACAATTTCAGAATAATGTTCCTCAACGTAAAATTGCGAATACTATAAATATCTCCTCATCTACAGTACATAATATCATCAAAAGATTCCGAGAATCTGGAGAAATCTCTGTGTGCAAGGGACAAGGGTGAAAATCAATACTGCATGCCCGTGATCTTCGGGCCCTCAGGCAGCACTGCATTAAAAACAGGCATGATTCTAATGGAAATCACTGCACGGGCTCAGAAACAACTCTAGAACTCACTGTCTGTGAACACAATTCACCATGCCATCTACAAATGCTGGTTAAAGCTCCATCATGCGAAGAAGAAGCCATATGTGAAAATCAGCCAGAAATGCCACTGTCTTCTCTAGGCCAAAGCTCATTTAAAATGGACTGAAACAAAGTTGAAAACTGTTGTCAGTCGAATCGAAATTTTTAATTCTTTTTGAAAACCATGGATGATGTGTCCTCTAAAGTAAAAAGGACTAAAAAGGAGAGGGACCATCCAGCTTTTTTATCAGTAGCTTTTTATTCAAAAGCCTGCATCTCTGATGGTATGGGAGTGCATTAGTGCCTATGGACTGGACAGCTTGAACATCCATAATTGCTTAGTGTCACTGTGATTGGCAGGTGAGAGACTTGGCTTGTAGCCATGGAAAGCAACAACATTCATTCCATCAGTTAGATTAAAATCCCATAGATCCATAGATCCATTTTCCATTCCACTTGTCCTAACTCACACTCATTCACACAATACGGACAATTTGGAAATGCCAATCAGCCTTCAACGTATGTCTTTGGACTGGGGAGGAAACTGAAGTACAGGGAGCAAACCCCAGAAGCACAGAGAGAACTTGCTAATTCCGCGCACACAGTGACAGAGGAGGAATTCGAACCCCCAACCCTATAGGTGCGAGGCAAACGTGCTAACCACTAAGCCACCATTCCCCCCGATGTAACCAAATCACTAATCAAATTTAAATATTATTCTCTGAGAGAGGCTGTCTACAAGCCCCACAAAAATAGACAATGTTATTCATATTATGTGAATTCCACTTTCAGTCTAAACTTATTACAAGCCAAAATCTCCTCATGCAGTGCCCTCTAAAATAATTGGCACCCTTCGTGAAAACAATCTATAAAAAAAGAATGTGCATAATAATAGTAATAAGTTGTGCTTTTATATAAACACAACAGTTTTTCCACATACAAACTGCTTTCCTGAGTAGTATAATTGTTCAGCAAAACTCTGTTTTCAAAATTACTGCCACCCCTAGTCTTTGGTGACCCCTCCCTTGGAGAGAACACCAAACAATAGGCCTCCTGTAATATGTACAAGTTTGGAAAAATTTTAAGTGATCTTGGACTCTCCTTAATGCAGAACACTTCAAGTTCCTTTATGTTCATAGATTTGTGTATACAGATTGCCCTTTTTCAATTCAGACCATTATTAAAGTTTAAATTTGGAGACTGAGAAACGTTGTTATGTTGCAGCAGCCATTGTTGATATGAATCAATGTTAAGGGTCATTATCTTCATAATCATCTATATCCCAGTGTTCACCTCCTGGCAGACTGAACCAGATTTGAAATATTGGGCTGAAATATTGTAGTACATATCCAAATTCATGACGCAGTCAGTCTTCACAAAAGCCCCTGGATTACCAGCTACAAAACTCAAAGCACCAGTGATCTACTGCTTGGAAGTGCTGGGATTTGAACTCATGACCTTCCGATCAGTAGTCTAAAATCTTAACCACTGAGCTACACTGTCCTTTTGAATGATTTTTATTTTTTTGCTATCACTTGTGAAAATCAACAACAATCTCCTTTATGTTAAAAGCTTCCTGACCAGGATAAAGTGGTTACTAAAATACATTGAATTTTTTTGAATGGAAATGACTGTGTGTAATGTGGATTTCTTACATACAAAAAATACAAAAACATTTGCCCCTTTTAAAGAAAGTTACCAGTTATTCAGAAGGGCACTGCATCTTATCATGAAAGATGGAGATAAAAGAGAGAAAGCACAGAAGAGTTTCAGAATGTGTTTTAAAGTTATTGATGGAGAAAGACCAAAAATGTGCCCAGTAAAAAAAAAAACAAAAAAACAAAACAAAAAAAAAACAGAGAGGGAGGTTGTAGTGCATGGGTTTATCTTTCTTTGTGTGTGTGTGTGTGTGTGTTTGGAACAGGGGAAAAGAGCATGACAGTAAGTGATATGTGTTATAAGGTAAACCATCTGTAGGATGTGGTTGTGGTCACCAGTATTTACCCAAGTGATGTGCAAATGGAGGGAAGAAATAGAGGAAACAATAATGCTGTGAGTGCAGGCAGGAGAGACGTGCCATTAGCATTCCTGTTGTGTGAGCTCAAGCCTCATGTCCACCTCCTAACCACCAAACATCACGCAAGCTCAATTAAGTACATAAACAAATGCTGCATCTTCAATTAAACCAAACAAAAACAACCCTGCCAGATCGGATTTTTCATCTCCAGTTCTTCAAACAAAAGCTCCACTGCGCCCTCTTATGGACAGAGACACAGCTGGACACAGCTGCAGCTTCCTACGTAGTACAGTTTACTGTACGTACTGAAGGGTTGTGTGTGTGATGTGTGGATTAATTGGGGTGTTAGGCTTCAGGCTTCAGATATCTTCCTGTGTGCTGGCCAAACTTGAACAGACCACAATGAAGAACACGATAACACAAACTCCAGCATGAAGATGCGAGAGCAGCAGAAACGGGAAAAAAGACCAGGTGATGTTTTTCCAAATCTTCAACTGTCCAGGTTCAGTGAGCCTGTGCCCACTGTAGACTCCAGTTCTTGTCTGACCAGAGTCGAACACGATGTGGTTCGGCTGTTGCAAACCACCATCTCAAGGTCTCATGTGATGTGCGTTCTAAGATGCTTTTCTGCTCACCATGGTTGTAAAAAGTACTAATTTGAGTTCCCATAGTCTAGTCATTCTCCTCTGACTTCTCTCATCAACAAGGCGGTGCGGTTACTGGATGCCCCCCCCCATCCCCCCCCCGTCGCACTGTTCTGTATAAATTATACACTGTTGTGTGTTAAAATCCCAGAAGATCATCGGTTTCGAAAATACTCAACCCAGCCGGGGAACCGGGAATCAGAACACAGAAGAAAAACGGTCAGCAATAACAGACAGGTAAACGCGGAACAATACCTCGGCAAGGACAAAGACAAGCACAAATAAATTTAAATATACTAACAAATCAAAGGGGAAACGAAGAACAGGTGCAGGACAAAAAGGACACGTGAGGGAAACAACCAATGATATTTCAAGGGTGGAGACAGGACATAAATCAAAACAAAATCACACATGGCAACATAAACAAAACATGACAACACAGAAGTGAGCATGCTGAGCACTTCTGCATGCAGCGCTCGGCACGAGGGGGAAATTCCTGACAGGGCGCCTACAAACTAAACTGGTTTGCACCAACAACCATGCCACGGTCACGAAGATCACATTTTTGCCCTGTTCTGATGATTGATGTGAACATTGATGGAAGCTATTCACCTGTATCTACATGATTTTATGCATTGTGCTGATGCCACATGATTGATTGGATAATTGAACTAATGAGCAGGTGTAAAGGTGTTCCTAATAAAGTAGCCAGCATATATCAAGGTACCATACGAACTCTTCAGGAAGAATTTGAGTTAACATTTGTGAAATGCATGGCTGACCTCATCGGCTCATGTGATCATGGGAGTTCTGAACAGCGGTGATGTCAGTAAACAACCCCTGCGCTTTGGCCGGTGATACACCAGATGGCTGGCTGAATACAGGATGAGCTGGGAGACTGCTCTTACTCATAATAAGACACTGAGCGCTGTCACAGGTGTGAGGAGTGTGTTTGGCTCCGTGGTGTCTGTGCGTGTGTGCGTCCTCACAGTTCAACGTGTGCATAAACTGAACAGTCTTGAGTTGCTCCATATGGAGACGGTTGTGTCATAGGTTTTACGTCAGGGAAAACACCCACTAAGTGTGAAAACACGCTTCATTCAGATTCCCGTCTCTGGCTGGGTCACAGGTTGTTTAGATTAATGACAAATCAGGGCATGACGCCTTCTCACACAATAACGCACACAAGCATACGCGATTACCTCTGATTCTTATTTCCAGACAGCAGCACGAGTCATACTTGGATTACGTGTTGCTCTCGATTATAGAATGGACTGGAACTGATCAGTCCAGCCCTATGCTGCCTTAAAAATGTTTTTATATCTTAATGTGGACAAAATGTCCCAAGAAGAATGGGAATATCTGACAGTTTGGACCTTGTGGGGACATTTGGCTGCACTCCGCTGCCATTTTTATATAAACCGTTTGATGTTTAAAGATATAAAAGAACTAAAAGGTTCCTTAGGTTAAGGTTAAATTTAGGTGTAGGCATAGTATTAATGCTAATGGAATGCCCTTACAAGGCCAGTAAGACAAGTGTGTGTGTGTGAGTGAGAGAGAGAGAGAGAGAGAGAGAGAGAGAGAGAGAGAGATTATGCTGAAGACCCCAGAAACCATGATTTCTGGTGACAGGGGAATGACACTTGCAACCGTTTAAACATAGTTCATCATGTTTGTATCAACTTAGTGAGAAAAGATGGAATGCTCCACAATGAAGTGGCTAATTTTGCTTCTTTCAAGTAACCACATAGTAAAAGACAGTTTCCTAGACACTGAGCCCTTGAAATAATTTCACTTAACATCATGGCTTGTTTGAAAGGTGAAATTATAGACATAACTTATTTAACATACAAAAAAAATATATCTTTTACGAGCAAAACACAGAAATTAGGTTTATGCAAAGACTGTGTTGTTTAAGGAATCACTTTGATCAAACGCAGCAGTAAAAACAGTCAGTACATTCTTTTTTTTTTTTTAACTTCTCATTCTTTTTGTGCCGGTGGGATGTGTCTGACTTGATTAATGACAGCAAAAGAACTTGATCATTAAGGGAGATTGATATGTATACACGAAATGTGTGCCTGTGCCTCTTCAATAAGTCAAACAAACACCAGATCCAGGCTGCCGCATGCCTGTGAACAGCAGGTTCCCAGCAAAAATGAAGACTTTCTAAAAAGAAAAATGGCAATAGTAAAGGGCCTAACAGCTTATGTATAGTGGTGCTCATCACTGGTGTAAAAAAAAATACCAGCTTCCTAATTTTGTTTGTTTTCTGTGTATTTGCAGAAGGACAACTTCCTCCACTTTGTTGAAGAACAAAGCCAGAAACCAAAGCAGAGAGGCAGGGCTTAACCATTACCATGTCAACCATCTGGTGATTCGAATAAAAAGCCCAGGCTGTGAAAGGACCTCGAATGCTGTATGTATACAATAGACACTGAGGTCAGTCAATGCTGAAGCTAGAATGTGTAATCGTAGAGCAGGCGTGTCCCGTCTTATCTGCCATGGGTTGAATGTGGCTGCAGATTTTCATTCCAAATGAGCAAACTGATTAAAACATGTTGATTTAGATGTTTTGTTAAATGTTAGCCTTTTACCATTGAAACTTAAAGTAAAAGAGACTTAAAGGAATACACAGTTTCCACATATTAAATGTTATAATGTGAATAAATCCTTTATTTTGGCGTTAGACGTACACTGATAACAGCCCCTCCTTGCTAACACCCCTCCTTAACTACAAAAATAATCATATGTATTAAAGTAAATATATTAAAGCATCTTGCATACTGCATAGACATGCATAGATATCACACTTACTGAATCCTCTGCTCTGTGTTTTACCTAGCAAGCTAATGAAAACCCAACTCACGACCCATGTGTACACAATTCAAATTATTATATGTTTCTTCTTTCTCCTCCTGTATAAAATGCTGCATGCACAATGCCTTCTCATATGGCTAACTACACTGCCAGCTATTGAGTTACTATTCTCTAAAATGTGCCTAAATTATTCACAT